AAGAGATGCTCAAAACATATTGTTAGTTTAATGAAACAATTAAGCCCTTTTTCCTCTGACAATCCTAATCATAACCTCCACACGAAGGAAAAGGGATTAGTCTGGTCTCCAGCTACAAGAAGCCTAACTTTCAGCTGCTAAAAACCCTGTTCACCTCTGCTTGTTGTGTTCAAGAACAGCAAAGAGATCAATATGCATGGGATGTAATTAACTAGGAAGAGGGAAGTAAGAGATACATTTGGAAGACGATGAAGGTGGATGTTTGTCAGCTTCTGGACTCACAATTTTACTATGATTTTCTGGGGGCTTGTTACTCCAGGGCTCCTGATTCCTAGTTCAGAATCTATAAACAGCATCTATGACTGGACAGGGCATATCTATGGCTAGACAGGGCATAACCTGGAAATGCTTACGGGAATCCTGTGTGAGGAAGGCTTTTGTCGATTTAATACACATTGTGTTCAGGGACCTGGGCTAAATAATCTTACATTCACTGTTTTATTTAACACTGTAAAATTATACATTCATCTAAAATGCAATAAAATAAATAAATGGGGAAAAATTATACATTCAGCGCTCATGAAAATGTCCAGTTCATCTGTCCCTTTCACTCCCATTCTTCTCTAGCCTGCAACCAGGCCTCTAATCATCAGCCCCTGTTATGCTTTCAACAAATTAGGTCACTTCTGGTTTTACTTGTTTCCCTTTCAACTTGAAATATTCAAGCTCTGTTAGCCAGTTTAGATTGGGTTATTCTGTGGTTACAAATGACTCCCAAGTCTCAGACACTTACAACCAGAAAAGTTTGTTTGCTCACTCCAGCTACATATTGATCATGGGTAGGCTGTGACCCTTCTCTACAGAATTCTCATTCTGGGCCCTTGGTTGGTGGAGTTGCTCCTACCTGGAATACTGGCAGAGGAAAAAGACGTAATGTTGAGTTACATCATGGTTCTTAAAATTTCTGCTCACAAGTGACACCTGTCACTTCTGCTCACGTTTCATTGGCAATAGCAAGTCACCTGGCTACACAGATATCAATGGGCTAGATATAGTATAATCCTCCCCCAGGGAGGGGCACTGCATATTTTTGAGCTATAACAGAACATACCAAAAGCGTGTCTCTGCGGAGGCACACTCACTGCACCTGTGCTCCCGAGCCCTCTTATCCTTCTTATACACACGCTGTGCCAAACACAGAGCCTGGATCCATCCTCTCCACGTCTTGACTCCACCTCTCGGACTGCCCCATGTTGTTGGAGGCTCTGCCCTTCCTGACAGCACCAGTCTACATTCATAGTTGGGTTTTCCTTCTTTGCTGGACCACCATGATGCTCACTCATCTTTTCTTTTTCCCATCATTAACTCTGACATATGTCTGTTATTTTCAAGCTCACCCTCAGAGCATCCCAAACCCTTCAGTACCTGCAGAAGATGAGCCTCCTGTTTTTTTATGGAAAACAGGGGCCTATAAGTATGAATTCTTCTAAACCTTGTAAACCCTCCTCTGCATTCCTTTTCTCCTCTCTGCTGTTTTTTATTCCACAGCACTGATTTAGCATCATTGACATATTAGCTTATAAATCTTGAATGATGGTTAACATTAGGTGTCAACTTGATTGGATTGAGAACTGCCTAGAGTATTGTTCCTGAGTATGTTTGTAAGGGTGTTGCCAGAGGAGACTGACCTGTGAGTTGGTGGACTGGGAAGAAAGACCCACCATCAAGGTGGGTGGGCACCAGCCAATCAGCTGCCAGAGCAGCTAGAACAAAGCAGGCAGAGGAAGGTGTGATAACCTTGCTGGCTGAGGCTTCTGGCTCTCTCTATTTCTTCTTCCTGTGTAGGACACTTGCTTCCATTCCTCCTGCCCTTGGACATCAGACTCCAGGTTCTTCCGCCTTTGTACTCTGAGACTTTTACCAGCGGTTTCCCTGGGGCTGTCAGGCCCTCTGGCTCAGACTGAAGGCTGCACTGTAGGCTTCCCTGGTTTTGGGGCTTTTGGACTTGGTCTGAGCCACTACCAGCTTCTCTCTTTCCCTAGCTTGCAGACAGCCTACTGTGGGCCTTTGCCTTGTAATCGTGTGAGCCAATTCTCACTAATAAACTCCCTTTTACATATATGTGTATCCTATTGCTTCTGTCCCTCTGGAGGACCCTGACTAATACATCTTGTTTTTTCCTCCGCTTCCCTTTCCTCTGCTTCTACGCTTACCTAGACCACCAGCATTCCTTCCCTATTTCCTGTTCTAAGCATGGTATTCTGCCCATTTCCCATGGCTTCCCTCAGTCCTGCTCTGTTTATTCTTCTTGCTCTCTTAAGAGGAAATCCCTGCCTTTTCTTGGCTTTTTCTACTTGGTCTACATACTGGTTTCTGCTGTTCTCAGAGACACATTGAGACATTTCATGTCTCACTGCCACTTCTTGGAAGGGTTCTCTCTACTGGGTCTGCCTGCTGAGCAGACAGACCTCTCTTGGGGAAACATGGGCACTCCTGAGTCACTGAATGTGAGCTGTTTGGTGTTGGTATGTTAATTTATCTTCTTACGCCGCCACTTCCTTAACTTCAAAAGGGAAGGATAATTATTATTTTCCATGACTGGAAATTTATGTTCTTACACCACTTCCTTAACTCCAAAAGAGAATAATAATTATTATTTTCCATGGTTGATGTGAAAAGTATAAATAACTTATACGAAATGCATTGCAGTTAGGAGATTATAATCGGCAGTGAATGCCCTTATTGTTATTCTATCAGTCTTGGCTCAGATACCATCTGCTCTGTTAGCTCCACTCTGAATTGTATCTAGTTCTTCTCTGGGTTCATTGTGCTCTATTCTTAACTGCTTTAAAGCAGTAATTATTCTGATTCTAATTAGTGGTCCTTCTCAGTAAATTTTTAATTTTTTAGATTTTTCCCCCCACCCTGCCCCCAGCCTTACCAGTGTTTTCTTGTTTCTTGTGTGTGTGTGTGTGTGTGTGTGTGTGTGTGTGTGTGTCTGTGTGTGTGTGTCTGTGTATAGGCGGAATCACTGGTCTTCTATTTGTGGCTAAATAAATATTTTGTTGGAAGAGTAAAGAGTTCCCAGTTCCATGGGATCTACAGTTCTACAAAATAAATATATACATAATCCATGTAAATATTTCACAATAATTTCACTACTAAAATTGTGAAATATTAGTAGTGAAACAATATTTCATTACAATAATTTTACTACTAAAATTGTGAAATTTAGTAGTGAAACAATATTTCACTACTAAAATTGTTTTAAAATTAAAACAATTTTAAAATTTAATTTGTGTGTGTGTATGTGTGTGAGACCAGAGATTGGGGGTGGGTCTCACTACGTTTCCCAGGCTGGTCTTGAACTGCTAGCCTCAAGCCACCCTTTTGCCTTGGCCTCCCAAAGTGCTGGATTTACAGGAGTGAACCACTGCACCCAACCTCACTTTTTGTTTTAACAGATCCTACAGTGAGAGAAAGCAAGTAGCACTGTGATAGAGTAGCTAGATAGGGAGCAGTTCTGGAATGTGAAGAAAAGGAGGTGTGGAAAGGGTCAGTCCACAGAAGCTGTGGCCTTCAGGAGAAAAGCTTTGAGGTCAGGGAGCCAGGGGGGTAAATGTCCTGAGACTACTCCATCCCACCTTTTGTATCTCCTTGAAATATCTTTTTTTGGCCACTCTCCTTGAAAGAGGAGGGCAAGGGAGCCAGGACAGAAAGTGAGGTGGAGAAGAGTGGCGCTCTGGAGGGACAAGCAGGAGATACGCAGCACAACCAACCACACTAGATAACACATCAAGTAGGGGAACCTGTCTTCCACTATACAGGCTAGGTGCTACGGGACATGCGCTCTGGGTTTACACGGATTATGACTCAGTTCTTTGCTGTTGTGAAGTTGTGTTTGGATAAATCCCTCAGCTTCTCTGAGTCTTATTTTTTCATTTGTAAAATGTAGACAGAGACCTACTTTCCCTCACTGCTCTCAGGTTTAAAATGCGTCAATTAGGATACAGCAAAGTCTGTTTGATGCTGAAAACTTTCCAGCAAGAATGAACCTGAGAACAAGTCATCTCTCATGTTTGCTCTTGCCTGTAACTACTAAGCATCTACTCCATCTTCAGTGCTTAGGGATTTTATATCGTTGGCATTTTTGATTTAGTCAGGAATGCATTGTATGGGAATATCAAACCTGCATGCTCTCCACACATTGACCATAGTCTGATCTTAGTAGGTGGTGCACATATAATTTTACTATTTCTCAATTTATTTTGGTGCTGATGTAATTAGTAAAATGCGATTTAAGAGTGTTATATATATTTTTAATCATGATGTCTTTTCATCAAAGTGATACTTAAAAGCACATCATCATCTTGTGGAGGCACGTTGACAAAATTTCTTTGTACTTAAAATGTTTAAGAGCCACTGATGTATTTTTGCTTCACGTATCAATTAGATTTAGATTTTATTTTGTTTTAGAGATGGGGGTCTCACTTTGTCGCCCAGGCTGGAGTACAGATCACCACAGCCTCAAGCTCCTGGCCTCAAGCTATCCATCTGCCTCAGCCTCCTGAGTTGCTGGGACTACAAGGGTGTGCCACCATTTTTTGTAGAGATGTGATCTCACTGTGTTTCCCAGGCTGGCCTTGAACTCCTGGTTTCAAGTGATCCTCCTGTCTTGGCCTCCCAAAGTGTCGGGATTACAGGAGTGAGCCATCGGGCCTGGCACTCCGATTTATTAATAGATTTTATAAGGACATTTTAGGCCTTACCCATCAGTTTCTTAGGGCAAGCTTTTCTCTGCACTGAATAATAAATCAGACGGTAGTGCAACGAAAAACGGAGATGATTTCCCTAAGAACAAACCAAGTGCAGAAGACTCCCTGATTGTCAGAACAGCAGATAACCTGGGCAGATCTCTGAGGCTATCCTTAAACTGACGCACCGGAAACAAAAGAACTCCTCCTGGAGCACTCCCGCCGTCCCGCTCAGTCCCCACCCGCCCGGCCGCCCCGTGGGCTCCGCCCCTGCGCGCGCTGGTTGGTTCTCGCCGGCTGATGAAATTTCCCGTACGCATTACAGAAGCCAGACCGGTGTAAGCGCCAGTAGCTCCTCCGCCCGGCACGCCATCCACCTTCCGACACGCCATCCACCTTCCGACACGCCATCCACCTTCCGACACGCCGTCGGCAGACCTGGCCTCCGCGGCCCACATCGCCCCCGACCCGCTTGCGGCTAGGTAAGACGGGGCCCCGCGCCCCACGCAGCACCCTTCTCGTGGGCTCTGGGGCTGCCTTGGGGGAGGAGGATGCGCTCTGCCGCCTGGCACCCGGCGGACGGACGCGCTTCGGGTCGGCTGATGAGGCATCTCCGGCAGTAGAGAGGGCGAGGTGGACGCCTAGCGATTGTTGCGCACCTCGCAGCAAGCCGGCGCGGAAGGACTTCTGTGTCCTTATCCCTGAGGCATCAAGGGAACCGCGGCCGGAAGACTGGGCCGCCCCGGAGAGAAGGCAGCGGCGACCTGAGCCCCTGTAGATGTTATATGTGTACTTTTTTTTTTTTTTTTTTTTTAACTATGTGGCGTTGAAGCCCATGGATATTTTCGCGGTCCAGGACCCTGCGGAAGACAGGCTGGAGCCTCCACGTGGCCGGGGCGCAGTCGCGTGTCGTGTGGTCCTGATCTAGGAAGGAGAGACCTGGGTGTCTGTGCTTTCCCTTTCAACTGCCCCGCTTCTCACCTGGCCTCCCTCACCATGCCTCCTCCCCTCTCACCCCTTCCCCCCGCCAGTCACCACCCCTCTGTAGACTGCAAGACTCAACAAGTGACTTGCTGAGCAAACCCGGCCGAGAGGCAGTCTGTTTAGGGACACAGAAGGCCAAGTACAGAAAAAGGCAAAACAACTAGCGTGCTTGTTTCAATGGATGTCTGTTTTACAGGGCTGACTTCAGGTTATTGTTAAAGCTTTAAATGAAAGGACAGTTTTCATCTCGGCCTGTGGCCTACATTATTTCTTTACTGTCCATTACCCTGGACACTTGGCTGATAATTTAACAGCAGTGTTTTTTTTCTTTTTTCTATTTTTTTGTAAATCATGATTCATCGCATTGCTGTAAGAGTAATTAGAGGTAAAGTAGGGCTTGTATAGTTGGTTACTTACTGAGATCTTATCATAAAAGTAAGGTGAGAGGGTGACGTTTTAAGTAGCACTAAGTGGAATAGAAATTAAATGTATTGCAACTGCAGTGTCCAATTCGGTAGGCACTAGCCACCTGTAACTTGAGCACGTGAAATGCTGGCTGGTCGGAATTGAGATGTGTTGTGTTAAATACACTGGATTTTGTCGTTGGAGTAGGAACAGTGTATAATATCTGCTCGACGAGTTTTTATATTGATTACATGTTAAAATGATACTATTTGGGATATATTAAGTATATTTAAAATTAATTTCACCTTTTTCTTTTTAATGGGGCTGCTAGCATATTTAAAATTACATATGTGGCTCACATATTTATTGGACAGCACTGCTCTAGAAGTTTATGAAAAAAAAAGAAAAATATTGAGAACAGGTAGCAACAGCAGGAACTTTGCCCTCCTGTAAGACTGATTCCAATAAAAAATAACTTACAGTTTTAATTGGCTTTTTCCTACTAGAAAAAAATAAGTGTACTTTACATGCCTCTTTGTTCTCCCTCTTTCCCCTCCAGTTTAGTGGTTAGCGTGTATTTACTATAGCAGGCTTAATATGCACAAGCAGCCTATTCTGTGATGACCACATTTGATTTTCAAAGCACTTTCCTAACCCATTTTTAATTGGTATAGAGTCAAAGGCAGATGGCTTATTAGTAGCCATCTCATTTAAATCTCATGGAGTTTTGCCACTAAGTCTGAAAGTAAAGAATTTGTTATAGGCTATTTGGTCAAGTGCATGGAAGGGACAGTGTGGAATGTGTGACATTTCAGTTCCAATTTGCTTGAGATGATTTTCATTATAACCATGTATTATTTGGTTCTGGTTTTCTGGAAAAGCCAGCTAAACCTTTGGTTCATTTAGATAAAAATGAAATATCCTCAAAGCATTGCTCAAAGTGACTTATGTAATTTGAATATGTATTTTTTCCTTAGGGTGTCTATCGCAAATTATCTGGGCATTTGCTGCAATTTGCAGTTTTTTTTTTAAGAAAACATCAAAATTATTATTTTTCAAGTTAGATGTTTTAATAAAAATGGCCATTTTGAGCTGGTAGTAGTCAAATAAAACAGCCCTTTATTTCACAGTTGAGAATTTGAAATTGGAAAACAATTAATGTATGTAAGGATGATTTATTTGTTTCCTGGCTTATAGGGATGAGCCAAGTTTTTTTTTTTTAGGGCTGTTGTTGCTGTATATGCCCCATCTACTTTGTTTCCTTACTGAACATTAAACTTTGAGACAGAAATATTTGAGGACATTTTTTTCGGTTAGGATATTTTGATAGCAAACATTTTGTATCTTCTGTCAACCTAAAATGTTTTATTTGTTACAAAGCCAGGATATCTGATATCAAATTAAATTGCTTTTTTTTTTTCCTTTAGACTTTCTTCAATAACATCTGGATACATCACTTGGAGGTAAGCTAGATATAATATAGTGAAATGCTTAAAAGAGCTGTGTATCTTAGTATTACAGATAGTAATCCTAGTATTACAGCAGTATGATTTTCTGTTCTACCCATTATATTCTACCTGCTGCTAGTTCAAGTAAAGAGAGGGCATTTAACTGTCAAGGGAACCTACTCTAGTAATTTGGAAAGTCTCTTGGATCTTTGAGGGATTTTGGGATGGAGAGAGTGGGGCTGGGATCTCTGGCTAGGTCAGAGCCAGCCTGCATTTGTTTCTGTATCTTGGAAGCAAACTTAGATTGCAGAAATAGATGTGGCCTGGTTGCTGCCAGCTCTAGCCAACCACTAAGGTGGGAGAGATGCAGGCTTTGGCTGGGTGCTAAGCTGCTGTAGCTGGTTGGATGTAGAGGTCACTATCTTTTCTGAATACTTGTAAGTAAATTAAATCATTCTCTACTCCCATGGGCCTGTCAACCTAATGGGAAATAGCTATAGAAAAGGTGGTTTACATTTTAGTCTTTGAAGTGGATTATGCTCGTTTCTGGAATCAAGATTTAATGCAGACTTGGATTGGATATTGAATATTTTTGATTTGTCTGCTTTTCTCTCCATAGAGAGCTTATAGTTTCATTGCACCATGTGTGGCATTTGGGCCCTGTTTGGCAGTGATGACTGCCTTTCTGTTCAGTGTCTGAGTGCTATGAAGATTGCACACAGGGGTCCAGATGCATTTCGTTTTGAGAATGTCAATGGATACACCAACTGCTGCTTTGGATTTCACCGGTTGGCAGTAGTGGACCCTCTGTTTGGAATGCAGCCAATTCGAGTGAGAAAATATCCGTATTTGTGGCTCTGTTACAATGGTGAGATCTACAATCATAGGAAGGTAAGGAAAAAGAAGCCAGATGTCTGGAAGTGATTAAACTTCAGAGTTTGTTGGTTACGATGATATTATATATTCTGTATCATGCTTTTTACTTTGCAAAACACTCTGTTATCTCATTTGTATGTAGATAGTCAGCGAACTGATGAATAAAAAGGTGAATGAAATGACTTGGTCACCAAAAAAAGTGATAAAAATGGAGATTACAGTTCAATTTCTTTGATTCTTAGAATATTTTCTCCTTCTCCCCAACTTTTCATTTGATGACATACAGAAAATAATGGAACAGTGAGCACCTTGATAGAATAGTCATTAACGTTTTGCCATATTTGCTTGATTTTTCTTTCTACACAAACAGACACGCACACACACTTTTTTGCTGTATCATTTGAGAGTATGGTGCAGATATTATGACACTCCTAAATATATAAGCATTTATCACCTAAGAATAAGGACATTCTTCTTTGTAACACCAATACCATTATTAAATCTAAGACTCCATAATACTACCTAATACCCAGTTTATACTTAAATTAAGTTTCCCTAAGTGTCCTGAGAATGTCTTTTTTTTTTTTTTTTTGAGACAGAGTCTCACTCTGTCACCCAGGCTGGAGTGCAGTGGTACGATCTCGGCTCTCTGCAGCCTCTGTCTCCGTTCAAGCAATTCTCCTGACTCAGCCTCCTGAGTAGCTGGGACTATAGGCACCTGCCACCATACTCAGCTAATTTTTTGTATTTTAGTAAAGATGAGGTTTTGCCATGTTGCCCAGGGTGGTCTGGAACTCCTGAGCTCAGGGTATCAGCCCACCTTGGCTTCTCAGAATGCTACCAAGAATATCTTTATAGCTGATTTTTGTTTGTTTTGAGCTAGATTTCATTCAAGGTTCATGTATTTGGTTGTGATGTTTCTTGATATTTTTTGAGATTTCTTGATAGCTACCTGTCATGCGTTGATAGAGATGTATATCCTAACCACCTTTTGGACATTTTTATCTCTGAACAATAGCTTTGTCATTGTTTGTTGCTTGCTCATAGGAACACTTTTAATAATAGTCTTCTCGTTTAAGAAGTTTTAAAATAGTTATTCAGGAAATTCCTTTCACACATTTCTTTATTTCTTTGTTAAGGGCCTACTATGCATCAGACCATTTTTCTAGGTGATTGGAGAGGAAATAGGGAAAAGAAGAGGCAAGAATGGAATTTCCTGCTAGTGGGAGGTAGAAGAAGAGAGTATTAAAACTTTTTTCTTTCTAAGTCAAATCAGTGTCATGTGTATGAGAATGCTAGGTGGTACTATGGCATTATCAGCTTGGCTTTCCCCTTAAATGAGACAGGAAGTGCCCCTTTAACTTGAACAGTGTTGTTGCTTTTGTTAAAAAGTTGCAAGAAGTTAAACATTTCAAATGTAATTAATGTCTATTCTAAGTTAGCCAAATGTTGTATTTGTAAAAGTAGAGAAGTTTGTTCCATTGCTTTTACCAAACATCTAAGCTTATGCAGTTGGGGCAGCTAGAAATTCGTCTAATGAGCAGAATGTAAATTTTAGGTTTATATAAAGTATTCTGCAACATAAGCTCAAAAATCCCCCCCCATTCCCTTTTTGATAAAAATAAAGTGTACTACTAATAAAATACAGCCAGAGGTATGCTGGGAGTGGAGGGAGACTGAATGAAAGAGAGGAGGAATGGGATAAAGGCTGGGGCAAAGAGCAATCCCTGTCCCTGCAGGAAAGTGTCAGAGGGCTGCAGCCAAGTCAAATGCCAACGTGACTTCAGGAGGCAATATTTGAGGGCTTTTATCTAAGATGCAGCATTGGAGTTTCATTTTAGGAGAATAGGAAGTGATACATCCGTTACCCGAAGGTTGCTTCTCCTTTTTAAGTAAATTACCTGCAAAGTTTAGGCCAAAGCTGTAGGCAAGGTAGATTTGGGAAGCTGTTGATTGCTGTCACCGAATGCTTTATGGTCACTTACCTTTCAGGCAGTTCAACCCAGAACAGTCAGCTGAAGACTGTTTTCTGACCCCACCTGCTAGTTACAGGATTATCCCTGATGGAGCAGAGAGGGGGACCAAATAGGGGAGAAAGGCCATTTTTGGACAGTTCAGTGAGGGCTTATAGACAAAAGTTTTACAAATCAGGGAGTGAGCTGAATGGAGTGTGAAGCATATTTTTGGGTCATGCACATAAATAATAGATTTAGTTTTTGAAATTTGAAAACATGTTTTAAACTTAATCTAGGATTTCTACCTGATTTAAACCTCTTTCTGTAATGTCTACCAAAAATGTGAATAAAAGGTATGAAGAGGAATACATCAAGGACTTTTTATTCTCGTAGTTTGCCAGTGATGATGGAGGGTGTCAGAACTGGGGAGTAGCCTATCAAACCTTGTTACTCTGTATGCAGTGGCAGACAGTCTTTGCTGTTCCTTTGGGGCATGCAGACTAATAAAGCACCATTGTCAATTTATCAGTGAGGAGTAGCTTTAATGCTACTGCAGTAGTGGAAGCACTGGGCATTGTCATCCGCCCTTGGGGACCAGCAGCTTTGTTTTGGATCATATATCTGTTATTGTGATGGAGTCATTTTTCAGGGAATGATACCAAATGATGTTTGTCCCTGTGCTTTACATTTTTATAGATAGGTCTTTGAAGCTGAACCTGAGGAACTTCTTAGCCAATGCTATCTTCTCAAACCAAAAGTTTACAGTTGCACAAGACACATTTTTTAGTATCATGGCAACCAGGCAGCCTATTATCTTAAATTTAGAGGGTGAGCGTCCTTAAACTGAAAATCCGAAATTTGAAGTGCTCCAAAATCTGTAACTTTTTGAGCACTGACATGAGCATGTCATGTGCTCAAAACTTTTTGAGCATGTACATTTTGATGTCACTGTCAAAATGCAGGTGTACAACAGACAGTTTATTTGGTGTTCCCTAGGGAAGAAAGACCCTCTCAGCCCCTTTCAGCTGCAGTGTAACTTTTCTACTCATGCCCAGATTTCCCCATGCAAGTACACCCACAAAGGGTAATAGAATGGCACGTGTGGAAGCTGGACACCCCAATGGCAGGATTCCCACAGATGGGACCTGTATGCATTACCTGTTGTATATTTTTGCTTATTCTCTGCTCTGTGGCGTGAAGATACTGAAAATGACAAAAAGGCCTGTAGAAGTCCCTGTGAGCAGCAATGATAAGAAAAAGTAGAAACGTGTGTTTATATCCCAGAAAGTCAAGCTGTTGGAGAAATTGGACTGTAGTGTAAAGGTATAGATGACATGGTGAAAATGTTTGATAGAGATACTGAAGGACTAGTGCTACCTGCATTCATAGCAGAACAAGAGGTTATGTCAGTTTATAGAAACAAAGAGACTTCCAAGATGAAAGCTGTTGCTAATGAGGCAGATGACTCTGGAGAAACATTTTAAAAAGCCATCTTGCAGAATGCCTCCCCAACCTCAGAGGACCCACTTTCTAGTTGCTCAACTGCTTCTGATATTCTCAACTAAAAAGAGAAAAGAAAAATACAGTGGACAGTAACTTTTAATCAAAACACAGCATTGTAGGTGGAGTCTGAAAGCCTGCCGTTATTTATATAGCTGTTTAACAGCTGATGCAGGTATTCTGGTGATGCTACCATACTGCTTATTTTCTTACTATATTAATTGTATGTCATATTTTTTACTTATGTGTGAATAAGTGTATAAAAATGATGACTCATCAGTAGCATATAAATTCAGAGTCGGGAATGATGGTCAGTGATATCGAACAGCCACAGATACATGGTAGCTGAGATAGTGACACCTTTACTTTCTGATGGTTCCATGTACACAAACTCTGCTTCATGCACAAGATTATTTGAAATGTTATATAAAATTACTTTAGGCTATGTGTGTAAGATATATGAAACAAATGAATTTCATATTTGGACTTGGGTCACATCCCCAAGATATCTCACATATATGCCAATATTCCAAAAACAAACAAACAAAAACCCAAAACACTTCTGTTTCTAAACATTTCAGATAAGGAATAGTCAATCTGCATATATAAAAATATATGTGTATTACATACGTGGTGCGTGTATAGTATGCATTTCCATCCCTCCACAGGTTACGATTCTGGTACATTCCCATTATGTTATGTTTATCAGACTGCAACCAAAATTTTCATGGGTTCAACTTTATGTAATGAAGATTTTAGTTGCAATCTGATAAAGAATTTGCAGAATTATGAGCAGAAACAAACCCTAATTTGATAACGTTGTGATCTTCCTAAATCACCAAAGTGCATGAAATAATTATAGAGCTCAAATACTGAAGCGACTTTGCAATAAAAAATTATTAGTGAATCCACAAGGAGTCTAACGTTTTGGTTTTGCTGTTGCTTCCTAAGATGCAACAGCATTTTGGATTTGAATACCAGACCAACGTGGATGGTGAGATAATCCTTCATCTTTATAACAAAGGTGGAATTGAGCAAACAGTTTCTATGTTGGATGGTGTGTTTGCATTTATTCTACTGGATACTGCCAATAAGAAAGTGTTCCTGGGCAGAGATACATATGGAGTCAGACCTTTGTTTAAAACAATGGCAGAAGACGGATTTTTGGCTGTATGTTCAGAAGCTAAAGGTAATAATAAATTTTTCTGTAGATTTTCATTATTGTCTTGGTTGTGTGTTTTCTTTTAAGTTATATTTGAAAATCTCTTAGAGAGCAATCCAGAATTTTACAAGTGACTAAGTTATGAGTCCTTACCTTTTCTTAAAAAACAGAGGAGTTGCACTCTCCTTTTCAGCACTTAAATTCTGTAATCCTTGAAGGATGAGTCTTTACTGCAGTCATTTGTTTTTTGCTGTGCTAATATGCTCTGTATCTAGCTTGATCCTAAGTGCAGTTTTAAGTTTTCCTGTGTCATACTGTAATGGTAGAGTTGGTTCTGCAATTATTGCACTGCGGTACTTTGCCGCAGTTATAGCACAGCAAATATTAGGATTTCTAAAATAGCTTTATTGATCATTCACATACCGTGTGACTCACCTACTTGAAGTATACAGTTCAGTGGTTTTTAGTATATTCACAGATGTTGGTAGCCAACACTCCAGTCAATTTTAGAATTGTTTTTCCACTTCAAAAAAACAAATCAAATCCTATGTCCTTTACCTTATTTTTTACTGGCAAGATTAACCAGGTTTTTGTTTTTGTTTTCTTTTAAGAGATGGGGTCTTGCTCGGTCGTCCAGCCCAGTGGTGTGATCATAGCTTAGTGCAGCCTTGAACTCCTGGGTTCAAGCAATCCTTCCACCTCTGCCTCCCTAGTAGCTAGGAGTACAGGCACGCACCATAGCATCCTGCCTTCTGTGCCCTTTAGCTTTCAGTTCCATCCTCCATATCCATCATCCGCACCCCTGCAGTCGTAGCCCCGACAATGACTTATCTTTCTGCCTCTGCATTCCTTGTTCTGTATGTTTCATATGAATAGGATTATATCATATGGCTTTTGTGACTGGATTCTTTTGCTTGGCACAATGCTTTCAAGATTTGTCTATGCTGTAATGTATATCAGTAGTTACTTTTTATGGCCAAGTGATACTGCATTACATGGATACACTGCATTTTGTTTATCCACTTGTCAGTTGATAGACAATTAGGACGTTGTTTACCCCTTTTGGCTATTATGAATAATGCTGCCATAAACATTGGTGTACAAGTTTTTGTGTAGACATTTCTCTTGGGTGTATATCTAGGAGTAGAATTGCCGGGACACATGGTAACTATGTTTAATTGAGGAACTGCCAGTCTATTTTTTGAAATGGCTGCATTGTTTTTTGTTCCCTTCAGCAGTGTATTAAAATTTCAGTTTGTCCACATCTTCACAAATACTTACAGTGTGACTTTTTAATTCTAGCCATTCTAGTGTATGTGAAGTGGTATCTCATTGTGGTTTTGATTTGTATTTTCCTGTTGACAGTGATGTCCGGAGTTTTTTATCTCATGCTTATTAGCCAATGTGTATATCTTCTTTGGATAAATATTTGTACAGATTCTTTGCCATTTTTTTTCCTGCTAGGCATCATTTTATTTTAAAATATAATAGACTTTATTTTTCATTCTTTGCCATTCTTTTTCCTGCTAGGCATCATTTTATTTTAAAACATAATAGACTTTATTTTTCATTCTTTGCCATTCTTTTTCCTGCTAGGCATTTTATTTTAAAACATAATAGACTTTATTTTTCATTCTTTGCCATTCTTTTTCCTGCTAGGCATTTTATTTTAAAACATAATAGACTTTATTTTTCTTTTTAGAGCAGTTTTAGAAAAAATTGACAGGAAAGTGCAGAGTTCACATATGCTCCCCCCTTCAGTGCCCCTACCCAGTTTTCCCGACGCTTAACATCTTGCATTACTGTGCTATGTTTGTTAGATTTGATGAACTGATGCTTATGTGTTAACTGAAGTTCATAGTTTACATTAGGGTTCACTCTTTGTGTTTTTTGGATTTGACAAATGTGCTCCACTTATTCATTCCTCCCCCTCCTCTTCCTCCTAATCCCCTAGTCATTGCTGATCTTTTTACTTTCTCTCTAATTTTGCCTTTCCCAGAATGTCATATAAATAGTTGTAATCATATAGTATGTAGCCTTTTCAGACTGGCTTCTTTCACTTACCAGTATACACTTAGGGTTGTTCTGTGTTTTTTCATGGCTTGATAGCTCATTTTTTAAATTGTTGAATAATATTCCATTTGTTTGCATGTACTGCATTTTGTTTATCCATTCTTGAATTATCCATCTCTAATTGGGTTATTTTGTCTTTTTATTACTGAATTGTAACAATTCCTCATGTATTCTAGATACAAATCCCTTGTGCTCATCAGGGTTACAGGATCAATATACAAAAATCAATGGTATCTGACACACTTTTAACTGAATACTACATAATTACAATGAGGAATCTGAAAATGAAATTAAGAAAGCAACTTCATGTATAATAACATCAAAAAGAATAAAATACTTAGAAATAAATTTCAGAAGTATAAAACTTGTACTCTGTTAGCTATAAAACATGGTTGAAAGAAATGAAAGAAGATTTAAATAAATGGAAAAGTATCCCAGTGATTATGGATTGAAGGCTTAACATTATTAAGATGGCAGTCCTCCCTAAACTAATCTACAGATTTAACTTGATCCCTATTAGCATCCCACATGAGTTCTTTGTAAAATTGACAAGCTGACTGTCAAATTCATATGGAATTGCAAGGGACTAAAGAATAGCCAAAACAATCTTTTGAAAATGAGGAAAAAAGTAAGAGAACTCATATTTACTGACTTTAAAACTTGCTACAAGACAATGATGATAAAAACTGTATAATACTAGCAGAAAGATAGATGTATAGACCAATGGGATAGAATTGAGAGAGGTGAACCCATGTATATATATATAATCAACTGATTTTTGACAAGGGTGCTAAGATTATTCAGTGGGGAAAGAAGTTCGAAAACTGGCACAGGGACAACTAGATATGTAAATACAGGCAAAACCTGAAGTGTTGGACCTTTACCCAACACCAAATACAAAAGCTCGATACAAAAAAATGAATCAAATGGATCCATTTTGAGCTAATCCACATAAAGCTATAAAATCCTGAGACGCAAACATAGGAGTAAATTGTCATGACCTTGGATTTGGCAAAGCTTTCTTAAATATGACACCAGCAACAATAACAGAAATTGATGAATTAGACTTCATCAAAATTAAACATTTTTGTACTTCAAAGGACGCCATCAAGAAAGCGAAACGACAACCTACAAGAGGGAAGAAAATAATTGCGAATCATGTGTAGCATTTTTTGATGAAGAAGCGGAGGAAGACATTTAATTTTTTTATTCCTTACCTACACAGCAGTAACATCCTAAAATCTCTCTCCCTGCCTCTTTTTGCCATTCTTTAAATTCTTTCTCACTTAATTTTCAGATTTAATATTGGCTGAAACAGGATAATGAGATCAATCAAATGGGTCCTTCGGACACTAGTCACAGTGGTCGTACTAATACTGGAACTGTTTTATTTTCAGGCATTTCTAGTGTGATCAGATGGCAAAGAACAAGTATATATGTCAGTTGCCAGGACTGCTGGGCAAGCCTGGCAAAGAGAACACCCCAGAAAAGCAGCCTCCTGTTCCTCTGTGCCTTCTTTGAGCCTGATGATCACTTGACATGGAGCTATAATCACATCCAGTTGTAACTCTGAAATTCCTTGATAGTTTTCTATATCCTTGACACTGTCCTTTTCCAGACCAAATGATCTCATCTGGAAGACTGCAACAGTTTTCCTTTCTAAGTGCTTTTAGAATAACCTGTCAAAAACTCATCTGATTATAGTACTGCCTGCTTAAAACCTTTAAATTACTCCCCATTCCCTTCCCAGGCTGAGTCGCTCACGAGCTCTGATAGCTGGTAAGGGAATCTGGGTCCTTGTTCTGGTGTTTGAATTCAGTGCTACACAGGTTGCTGGCTGGGTTGACAATCTCAAATTGTAAATCATGAGTATTGCATATAGCCTGCTACAATTTACAAGAAAACATCGATGTTTGTGTCAAAGATCATGGTGATGTGAGGCTGGGTACTTTCTGTGGGAATTTTTTGAGGAAATTTAAGTTATATGGTTTTATTCACATATAGTGCATAACAACTAGTTAAGGGGTAGATGTCTTATCTGACTTTAAAGTAGCTAAGAGTGGATCACTGAACTTGTTAAAGGTCTGGGAACCTTGGCTATTTTCTGAAAATACCTCAGTGATGACAAATAAATGACTACCAGCTTATCATAACATTAGGACTCCATTTCTTCCCTTTGCCTCATAAGTGTGTCTTTTCCTTTGGTATGTATTTGCTTTAGTATAGAAAATAGGTTTTCTTGGTTAGAAATCTAAGAAGAAGAAATTGAATACTGGAGATTTTTCTATTGCTTTGAATTACCAAAAATTAGTGTAATTTGGCAGTATATCACTGTGCCATTATTATCTCTCCAGTAAGTAGATGGTAGGGCTTTGGGTGATTAAAATTTTTTTTTCCTATTTTGCTTATTTAGTGGGCATGCATTTGTATTGAAAAGGGAAAATAAATAGGAATGTAGAGGCTGTTAACTAATTGTGAAAGGTTGCCTAATTTGAACAAAGGTATGATTTTGAATTTGTAGGTCTTGTTACGTTGAAGCACTCTTCAACTCCCTTTTTAAAAGTGGAGCCTTTTCTTCCTGGACACTATGAAGTTTTGGATTTAAAGCCAAATGGCAAAGTTGCGTCTGTGGAAATGGTTAAATATCATCACTATCGGGATGAACCCCTGCACGCCCTCTATGACAATGTGGAGAAACTCTTTCCAGGTAGTGGACACCCATCCACCTATTCCCCATCCTTCTCCAAGGGAAAAAATTATAAGTTGTACTCTTACATCATTTGAATGATTTTAGTATCAAGACCTACTTCCTGTTTTGTTTGGAGGGAACACGTTAAGATTTGGCAGACTCCACCATTGAGTAAATGCCATCATGATAGATGTTGATGATTATGTATTTCATTTCAATAACTTATCCAGCCCAAGATTTTCTGGAGCCATTTGATTTACTTGCTGTGTTTATAGGTTTTGAGATAGAAACAGTGAAGAACAACATCCGGATCCTTTTTAATAATGCTGTAAAGAAGCGTTTGATGACAGACCGGAGGATTGGCTGCCTTTTATCAGGTGAAGTCAATTAAAAAAAAAACCTAATTATATTTCATGTCTGTTTAATTGAGATGATTTGTAGCCATCCCTTTGGTTTTCACTATAAAATATTTACTATATGATTTAATCTTTCCTTCATTATAGGATGGAAACCATTTTGTATAAGCTACATTTAATACTCATAGTAACACTTGAACTTGAGTGACACTGTAGCTATGTTATTGGTGTGAAGAGTGAGCCAGCTCTTTAGAATTCTGTGTAGTGATTTTTAACCAAATACTAATATTATCACAGTATATGTATTTTTATCTTGTCGAAGTTGGTTTCAGTTTATAAAACTTGAGGATTTTAAATGGTAAAACTGTGATCTTCGTGTTTATCAGGAATATACATCCTCTGTCCCTGTCTTCTGCAAGGCACATAACTAGGACACTTCCACTTTCTCTTTTGCATGTAGGGGGCCTGGACTCCAGCTTGGTTGCTGCCACCCTGTTGAAGCAGATGAAAGAGGACCAAGTACAGTATCCCCTCCAGACATTTGCAATTGGCATGGAAGACAGCCCCGATTTACTGGCAGCTAGAAAGGTAAGGTGCTGTCTCTGCCCCTTGTATAGCTAGAGTAGACTTGTTATTAGAATGAAAATGGAGTCAATAATGGATAATTCCACTTATGCTGCTGTGTTGACTGGGGAAATTGTTTCAAATGTGTTAAAGTAGAATGAAATCGCTGTTGAATATGCACTGCATTGTACACTGTCCTCTGTACTTTTATCTGTTATGACCCGTACAATTCTCACAAAGACACTGTGATGATAATTATGCTCTTTTGAAAGTAAAGGCGTCGGGTACAGTGGCCTATACCTGTAATCCCAGCACTTTAGGAGGCTGAGGGAGTGGATTACTTGAGGTCAAGAGTTTGAAACCAGCCTGAGCAACATAGTCAAACTCCCATCTCTACAGAAAAAAATATAAAAATTAGCGAGGCTTGATGGCGCATGCCTGTGATGTTAGCCTTATGGGAACCTGGGTGATAGAGTGAGACCTTGTCTCAAAAAAAAAGGGAAGGAAGTAAAGGCGTAAGTCAGGTCCAGTGGCACACACTTATAGTCCCAGATACTTGGGAGACTGGTGGGAGGTCTGAGCTCAGGGGTTCAAGTCCAGGCTGGGCAACATAGCAAGACCCCATCTTGAAAAATTCAAAAGAGAGGCTTTTGTTTGTTCGTTTTTTTGTTTGTTTTGTTTTTTAAAAAAGAACATAAAGGCATGGTATCATGGCAAAGACTGCAGGCTTTGGAGTCTGACTTGTGGCTTGACATCCTGGCTCTACTTGTTTATGTAACAAAAATAATAATGTCTGCTATGGGGTAGTTTTAAGGTGAAATGATATAATTCATGTGAAGTAAGTAGGGTAGAACTTAGCATATAGTAAGTACTTAGTGAGTGTTAGCTGTTATTATTTTAAAAAGTGCTATATTTAGAATACTGTGGACAGAGGGCAGCTTGTCTGTATTCAGTGAGCAGGAGACCTAGTTCCCACTCTGGAGAACTTTTGTAACAAGGATGAGGAAGAGCTAGAGAGCAGTCTCAATACAAAGTGATCAATGCTGAGAGAATCCAAAATAGCCAAGAAAAGTAGAATGAGGGGAGGGGCCATTCTATATAGTAATAACATCTAGGTTATAAAATTAGGCATTTCAGAAGGACCAAAAAAGACCAAGCTTAGCATGGGACCCTATTGGCCTAGGGAGAAATGAGGTGGGTTAGGTAAAATGGGTGAGGAGGGAGGTGCCGACTGAGAGAATGGTTGAAGCCTTGGCACCGGAGGAGCTGAGGGGAGACGTACTTCCTGGTGGTGGATTTGAAGCAGGTGAGGGAACAGGGCTGGATGGGGCCTGTAAAATCAGGTTTTCTGTTTTCCCTTGTTTAGTTTTCACCGTTGTTAATTCATAAAGCTTTGTGAACTCGCGTCATGTTTGATTTTCAAGGGAAGTTATTTTCTTTAACAAATAAAGGGGTATTTTTTCATATAATAAGGTAGCAAATCATATTGGAAGTGAGCATCATGAAGTCCTCTTCAACTCAGAGGAAGGCATTCAGGCTCTGGATGAAGTCATATTTTCCTTGGAAACTTACGATATTACAACAGTTCGTGCGTCAGTAGGTGAGGTATTACTATATTATTAAATAAACAGATTTTTTTAAATACTGAAAAAAAATGTAAGGTGTAACAAAAATTATTTCAAGCAATAGTTAAAAAATGTTGTTTAAGGGCTGGGCATGGTGGCTCATACCTGTAATCCCAGCACTTTGGGAGGCTGAGGTGAGCTGATCATGAGGTCAAGAGATCCAGACCATCCTGGCTAACATGGTGAAACCCTGTCTCTACTAAAAATACAAAGACAAGCTGGGCATAGTGGTGCACACCTATAGTCCCAGCTACTCGGGAGGCTGAGGCAGGAGAATCGTTTGAACCAAAGAGTCAGAGGTGCAGTGAGCTGAGACTGAGCCACTGCACTCCAGCCTGGCGACAGAGTCTCAAAAAAAAAAAAGAAATAATATTATTTAAGGATGACTGCAAATTAAATACCTATGTTACTAATTATTTAAGACCACTTAAGAATTCTCTGAATCTCTTTTGGAGTGAAGGGCACCGTAAATACATAGTTCAACCTCTACATTTTTGGTATCACTGTTGGACTGTTGGTGTTTTCCCAGGGAGTAGATACATATTTTCTTCCCTCTACCTCCCATTTCTCTTATAGTTTCTTGGGCTACAGTCTGTATACAGTGAAGAAATAGGTCTATTTGGTAATGTGTTTTTGATAAGAAATACTCATTTTAGATATATTTTTGGAAATATTCCATCATAGAACTTACCAGTCACTAGCTATCATTGCTCTGCAAACAATGCTAATTTTATCTTGTAGATAATATATCCACTGAGATTGGATGCATACACCAAATCAGATGGATCCAGTGTTACTCAGCCTTTATATGCTACTGTTTCTCTTGAGAGAGTTGCCTTGGAGGGCAAAAATATCTTAGATATTACAATGGTTTATGGCCCATCAAAGCATCACAATAAATAGGGTAGCTCTGGTACTGGAATTTCAAGGGGCTGGGGTTAGGAAAATAAATGTCTAAAAAGGCTCTCTAGCTGAGGTGATAGTAAAAACAAGGTTGAGAAGAAACACTGGTTTAGAGGGATGTGGTACAGAACCAGGAAGGCAGGTTTCATAACTTGTTAGTCTTCCTGTCTTTATGAAAAATCTGGTAAATGGAGAGTGGCAGAGGGAAAACTGACATTAAACCACCCAAACACGTCCTCTTATTTTTGTGTTGTTATACCACTATGAAAGGCATGATTTTTAGATATTTGAGTCATTGTTCAGCATAGCAAAGTTTTAAGATGGACTTTCTTGGTCTAAAAACATTGGAACATTAGAATTTTGAAACCTGTTTATAAAATGACAGAATGGTTCTGGGTTATTTTATTTTACAGTAGTACTTTTGGATTAAGTACATGTAAATGGCTTATAAATATAAGGTCATTATTGTGGAAACTATTTTATATTAATTTGAAGTCCAGTATAGTAGTAAAGCTTTCAATTATTTCCAAAAATCAAAGGCATTCTTGGTGGAAGGTTATGTTGACATTAAAGTTAATTTCTCTCTCTTATTTAAGGTATGTATTTAATTTCCAAGTATATTCGGAAGAACACAGATAGTGTGGTGATCTTCTCTGGAGAGGGATCAGACGAACTCACGCAGGGTTACATATATTTTCACAAGGTAAGCACTCTGAAGTGGAGGGATGTTCATGCTGTATTAAGAAAAGTATGAATTGTTTGACCATTTTCTATCATCTTTCAGTATGACAGTAATAGTTTTGAGTGCCTTGTGAGATTACAAAAGGGAATCTGATAGTGTCTGCTTTCTATCTCTTGGGGAAGAAAGAAATTTTAATAGTGTTAGATAATTTTTATTCTTTAAAACTAGTAATAGACAGGTATGGTGGCTCATGCTTATACTCCCAGCTACTCAGGAGGCTGAGGTGGGAGGATCACCTGAACCTAAGAGGTCCGAGGCTGCAGTGAGCTGTGATTGTGACACTGCACTCCTGCCTGGTTGACAGACCAAGAACCTGTCTCTTTAAAAAAAAAGCAAAAGTTAAAAATAAATAAATAAAACTAGTTAAGCTTGAGAATCACCTTTCTGCCATTTCTTAGCCGCCTACGGAATTATGACTGTTTCCCAGTGTGTTCGTTTTATTCTAATACTAGCAGTTTAAAAGGTATGTTTTGTGAAGCATTGCTTAGCTCTGTTCAGATATTTACTCCCTTCCCTAAATTTGTTTAGCTTTTTGTCTTATCCACCTTTGGGATTGGAGAGGGAGAAAGACAAACTGCTTTGTGTATCAAAAGCAAAACTCTTGGTATTTTTGTTTGAAATAGGCTCCTTCTCCTGAAAAAGCTGAGGAAGAGAGTGAGAGGCTCCTGAGGGAACTCTATTTGTTTGATGTTCTCCGCGCAGACCGAACTACTGCAGCCCACGGGTAACATTTTAAGAAACTATTGTAAAACAAAAACAAAAAAACATCAAAAATAATTTAAAAAAAAAGGCCCAATACCCTGAAAAAATTAAAAGATCAATAGCTGATTGGCTACATGTTACATACAGTTGGCTATATGTTACAAAGTGTGACTTCTATGGAGAAAATGAAGCAGTTTCTTAACTTAGTCCCCAAAGAGGCCACATTTCAAAGTGTCATGGTCTGTGGGGAGAAGTCTTCTTCCATAGGTCGTTTGAGGTGGGGTTTTCACCTTTAAAGGGTAACAACATTCTGCTCACATCTGAACAACCAAGAGGGAAGAGGGAAGGCTGCTACAGCTATTGTTAAGTGTTTTAAAGAGAGATAGGCCAGGCTCAGTGGATGACCTGAGGTCAGGAGTTGGAGACCAGCTGACCAACATGGAGAAACTCTGTCTCTACTAAAAATACAAAAAAATCAGCCAGGCGTGGTGGTGCATGCCAAAAGAGGGAAGTATTGTAAACATGACAGTCTTGAGTGCCCACCATGCCTGTTTGGTGCTGTAGTGACCCTGAGGGGATAGGGCAGTGAAGATGCAAGGCGTTTGATTACATTATAAAGAACTGGGGTTTTTTTGGTATCGTTTCTGGTTGTCTAAAGTTATGTTGAGGAACTGAAGACTTTTGCTGTATAGGGTAAACAACTGACATTAAATGTTTTAGTTGCCTCTGCTGAATCACACATAAATTAGGATATAATTAATTATGAGTTTGGGGAATGAACTGAATCTGGTTATTATCCTATCTGCTTGTTTTTTTTTTTTTTTTTTTTTTTTTTTTTTTTTTGTTTCGCTCTTGTTACCCATGCTGGAGTGCAATGGCGCGATCTCGGCTCACCGCAACCTCCACCTCCTGGGTTCAGGCAATTCTCCTGCCTCAGCCTCCTGAGTAGCTGGGACTACAAGCACGCGCCACCATGCCCAGCTAATTTTTGTATTTTTAGTAGAGGCGAGGTTTCACTATCTGCTTGTCTTAACTAGAGTTTCTAGGCTTCAGGAAACTGGTGATATGGCATTTGATGAAATACAGTGGAATGCTAGTTTATATTGTATGTTGAAGACACTGAGTTAGAAAGCTCCAGGCAAGGTATTTTCTTAATGATTGGGTCACTCATGATTTGTAACTTTTTCTGCTTTTTGAAATATGCAATTAACTATTCCTAGAAAGGAAACTAAAAGTAATAGTCTCAAATAGTTAGTTTTACTCCCTAGATGACATGATATGTTTGTTACTTTAAATGAATATATATTTTTTTGTATTCATTCAGTAGTGTAGGGCAGCCTCCTAATGGGAGGCTTGTACTTGTATGTGGCTGTATGATTTTAACATTTCTTAGAATCTGGTTGAATTGATGGGAAACTGAATCAGAACCTAAACTGATAGGCATTAAATACCCATTTTAATTTAGATTTTCTTCTTTTTTCCTTTAAGCCTTGAACTGAGAGTCCCATTTCTAGATCATCGATTTTCTTCCTATTACTTGTCTCTGCCACCAGAATTGAGAATTCCAAAGGTAGGTAAATCAACTCAAGATAGAAACTGTCCAGTGCCACCAGATTATATTTGTAACTTTCACTGATGCTCCTTTTTTTTTTTTTGATGTCAGAATGGGATAGAAAAACATCTGCTGAGAGAGACATTTGAGGACTCCAATCTGATACCCAAAGAAATTCTCTGGCGACCAAAAGAAGCCTTCAGTGATGGCATAACTTCAGTTAAGAATTCCTGGTTCAAGATTTTGCAGGAATACATTGAACATCAGGTATAATATCTTTAAAAACATTTTCAGGAATGGGACAATTTGGATGCAGAGCTGTCATTGCTGTTCATTTCGTTTTTAGTTTGAATGCTTTGTCCCTGTAAGAGACAGACATAGTCTCTGTAAACAGTTGTCTCTTTTATAAAAATTAAGTATCATGAAGGATTACAAAGTAGCATCTAGAATTGAAAGAGAGGAGACTTACTACTACAATCATCACTTACCTTCATGTAACACATTATTGGGCACCTGCTGGGTGCCAGATCTTGTTAGGCACAAATGACTAAAACAGAGCCACCAAACATGAAAAATATGCATATGAATTTTTTAAAAATCACTGTAGCTATGCGTATTATGAATACTTTAGCATTTTCTAAGTGATGGGTGATTCAGAGGGTCTCATAATTTACAGTCTTGTCTTAACGTTTTCTGTTTTGTGGAACCAGAGTAAATACAAGTATTTCCATGCCATTTAAAAAAACTGTTTTGCTCTTACACACTTATTCTTACAGGTTGATGATGCAATGATGGCAAATGCAGCCCAGAAATATCCCTTCAATACTCCCAAAACCAAAGAAGGATATTACTATCGTCAAATCTTTGAACGCCATTACCCAGGTCGGGCTTACTGGCTGAGCCATTACTGGATGCCCAAGTGGATAAATGCCACTGACCCTTCCGCCCGCACACTGACCCACTACAAGTCAGCTGCCAAAGCTTAGGTGCTCTTCGTGCTGTAATTGTTGTTCTTGTTGTAAAGGTACTATGCAAATATTTCTTCTTGTTGTGTGAGTACCATAATTAGATGGGGGAGCAATGAAAGCCAACTCAGGCTAACTTGAAAAAAATAAAAGTCCTAAATCTTAAACACTGCTATAGTCATTTATGTCCATGCAGTCTCTTCATAAGAGGTAACTAGAAATTTTTTGCTGTATCACAGTAAAGTGGAGGGTAAGCTAGGAAAAGGAAATGATCTGATGTCTGCAAGAACTCACAGCACTCTTCTGGCAGAGCTGCTTTAGATGTCATCTGCATCTTGTGCTCATGTGGTTTCTTTTCAGTCCTTGCCTCATCTTAGGGAAGTCATCAATGAACTACAGTATTTTTGTTCTGCCTGCATTCCTAACAGCTGCCTAGGTAAGACTCGAGACTTGAGTCTTCTGTAGGAGTTTCTGACAGCTGTATTTTGCAAGATGGTAGTTCATTTTTTTTCGCTTTTATGTTGAGCCAAAGTCACCTCTAGAGATTTGTCCTAAAGCAGGGATCAGGCTTTTTTTTTTTTTTTTAAATAAAGATCCACACAAATACTTTAGGCTTTGTAGACCTCTTTTGGAACTGTGCAGGTCTGCCATTGTAGTGCAAAAGCAGTTACATAGACAGTATGTCAACAAATGAGCATGGCTGTGTTCTGTTAAAAGTTATTTATAAAAGCAGATGGTGGACCAGATGTGGTCCATGGGCCATAGTTTTGTGATCACTGTTCTAGAGGAATAACCAAGCTAACTAAGCATTTCTGATAAAAGTCCAAACCTACTTGAAAGAGAAAGTATAGTAACATATTCAGCTGGGTGCGGTGGCTCACACCTGTAATCCCAGCACTTTGGGAGGCTAAGGTGGGCAGATCACCTGAAGTCAGGAGTGAGACGAGCCTGACCAACAGGCAGAAACCCCATCTCTACTAAAAATACAAAATTAGCTGGGTACGGTGGCACATGCTTGTAATCCCAGCTACTTGGGAGGCTGAGGCAGGAGGACCGCTTGAAACGGGGAGTCGGAGGTTGCGGTGAGCTGAGATGGTGCCATTACACTCCAGCATGGGCAACAGAGCAAAACTTCGTCTCAAAACAAACAAACAAAAAACACACATTCAAAGAACAGGTAGAAGGTTTTCAGTGAATGCTCGTTGGTTGTTTAGGGACAACATTTTGAAATACCTTATAAAGGTGAATTTAGCTCTTAGAAACTTTTGAAAAGGGAACTGCTGGTGTACAGAGATACAAGGATGCTTGATGGAGGAGTGAGTGGGCAGAAAATTGGGTAAGTTGGAAGAAGGGTGTGTTTTAGGGTAGCTGTAGGGCTGTATTCACAGAGTATTTCTAAGAAACAGAATGTCATTAACTTAGATGACTTTGTTTTGTTTGTTTTAGATAGTCTTGCTCTGTCACCTAGGCTGGAGTGCAATGGCATGATCTTGGCTCACTGTAACCTCTGCCTTTTGGGTTCAAGCAGTTCTTGTGCCTCAGCCTCCCAAGTAGCTGGGATTACAGGCAGGTGCCACTGTGCCTGGCCAATTTTTTGTATATTTAGTAGAGATGGGGTTTCACCATGTTGACCAGGTTGGTCTTGAACTCCTGGCCTCAAGTGATCCACCCACCTTGGCCTCCCAAAGTCCTGGGACTACAGATGTTAGTCACTGCACCCAACCCTAGTAGATGACTTTTAATGATTATCTTGTGTTTGTAGGTGCTTAAATTGCTTAAACCTAGAATGATTTGATTCTAGGCATATTTATTCCTGGTAAAGCCTCAGACAACCAATCTAAATGACATAAAAAATACTTGGGAAACTCAGTTCATAATCATTACAGAGTGTACACTACAAGGTTAACGTATGACATAAACCCCAAACTGCCAGTTTTCCAGGGAGTGGGATTTGGTTCTGGATTTTTAACTTTAGTGACTCTGATCTGGTGTATTTAGTTGCCACCCAGAAGTTTGATAGTGAAGATACTTAGCTAAGCCAATTTCATAGCAGCAAACTATAGGTTAATTATAATGGCAGCAACTTTCTGGAATTCAAACTACATACAAGATTTACAGAAGTTTCTTGGCACCAAGAATAAAGCTAGCTTTTTCTCTTTTGCAATTTAAATTGTAGAAAGTTTGAAGAAATGGTGCCCTTGGGCTGCTGTACACATGACTTAATAGCTCACTTATTGGCCAAGCCTGTTTTCCTGGATTTTGGTAATTTAGTGTGAAGGAGGCCCTAATCTACACACCATCTCTAACAACAAATAGTCCAGTCGTTTTAAGCATACACTGAGAATGTTAGCTGATATTGTTCTGCCATTTCAGTCTGATGTGAGCACTGTCATGAATGACCCACCCTTTAGAGGTTTATTTCACTTTCTCTTAAAATCTGCTAAGAGGTACCATATAGTTTGACAGAATGATACACCTTCTATTTTAAAAAATGAAAAGTAAAATCCACCTAAAATCTACTTGTAAAGTTTCAACATTTTTTTTGAAGATCTCTTACTATAAAGGGACATGCGTAGGTAGATTTTGATTAACATAAGGCCTGAACGCTTCTAAAGTCCTTTATAAGGAAAACAAAAATGAACAAATCCTAAGCCTATGATAGCCCAGCATCCAAAGGATTATACTTTGTGGGAAATTTGCTTGTATTAGACTGTGGTATGAACATCTTGAGCACAGAGTCAGAGCATGCTCCTGAATGCCCCCTGTTTTGGAATTGCCCTTAGTTTGGTCTAGAATCTCTGATAAAGGATCCTTGGAGTAGGTTCCTAGGAAGTGAAAGTCTGGCCACGAAGAAGCAGAGTGGAAGCTGAGCAGGGAGGCTGTTATGTGTGGTTCTAGACTGTGCAGTGGAAAAATCAATACCAAGCATGTACTTAGCAGTTATTCTAAGTAATTTTATTGTTAGCTCATTCCAGTCTTAGGAAATGTGGCAGATTTTATTTTCTGAAAGTGGCCATGGCAGTGTTCCTGGTCCCATGTCCTCTTCCAGAGCCTGGCTGCCTCTCTGAAGAAGCAGCCTATCTTCCCTCTCCTTGAGCATGGGCAAGATTTTGCAATTGCCTTGTAGTAGAGTACAGTGGAAGCGATGCTGTGTGACTTCTGAAAGTAGGTAACAAAAGATGATGTGGCTTCTGCTCTCTCTTTTGATAAGGAAGCCCAGACCATGGGAGAGGCTGTATGTGAGTTTGGGCTGACTGCCCTTAGCAAAGGGCTCAGTCGACAGCCACCAACAACTGCCAGCTGTGTCAGGGAGTGGGCCTCCAGATCATTCCAGCTGCTGATCTTTCAGTCTTCTATCTGGAGCCCACGCATGGGAAGGAGAGACGAGCCATCCCTGCTGTGTGCTCTGTCCAAGTTCTTCATTCACAAATCTGTGAGCATAATAAAAGCTTGTTTGACACCATGAAGTTTTGTCATTTCTTACACAGGTATACTGACTGGAACAGGTAAACACTGTTATCCCATTTTACACGTATTAAATACATTGCTGAGTCATTTGGCTAATTAGTAAGTGGTGGAACCTCAAATTAGCCAGGTAGGTTGACTGCAGGGCCTATGAGTTGTTCGTTTCTAAATATTGTCTTGCAATGTCAGCCTGAAACTATTGCCTGGGTCTCTGGTGTGAATCGGGAGACTAAGGGAAAGGGCTTCTATTGGGAACAAGAACAGGTAGTGCAGAGAATCTCCCAGGGATTGCAGTGAGGCTAATCATTTTTTGTAATGGCACAGGCTAGGTGATACTGAGAAAACAATCCCCAAATTTCAGTGCATTACCACAGGAAGGGTTTTTTGCTCAAACTGTATGTTCACCTTGGCCTATGGGAGGCTCTGCACATTGTTGAGGAGTTATAAGCACTCTGGAACCCAGGCTGATGGAGGCACAACCTTGACATAATTCCGCCATCAGCAAGGCAGGGGATGGATAAAGTAGTGAATTATTTACTGAAACTTAAATCTTCCACTCTGAAGTGACACATCACTTTGGTTCATATTACATATGAGACATGTGGCCACACCTAACTGCAAGGGAGCATGAAAGGATGAAAGGAAAATGAACAGCACTAGTAACTCGCCAGATATGCTCTTTGGGAACAAAATATTGAATTCGCTCTCCTATGCAAGAAATATATTCACCACCTTTTGAGGGTTACAACTGGGGAATTCCATTGTGCAAAGACCCCAAGCCCAGAGTTTAGGAACTCTGGGTGATGTACTTATGTGGAAGTCTGTTTCAGGGCTGAAGATGGGCACTTAATGAACTAAGAAAAAAGTAATCTGCTCCCCATCCGTCCAATATATAATTCATCAGGAATAGAATAACTGTGGCAACAACAAAATACATTCAAAAAGGATAAAACAGAAGAAATACCAAACCCTACTCAGGAACAATTTTGATATCCTGCAGTCAGCCTCCAAGTCCAGCAGAAAATTGCTCTTCAGGGGTCAGCCAAGACATCATCAGTGTGATGGTAGAAGAAAGCAGATTGAAAAAACTAGGGGAATCAGTATCTGAGCACAGGTGAGAAATGGAAGAGTTTGGAGGGGAAGGGCTGATTTCTAGCCATAAAGCCACTTTGGTTCATACCATTATAATTTTGGTTATACAGTGTTAACATTAATTGGTTACCCTTCTGAATGCCAAGGACTGCTCTAAAAGCTATAATCAGTCTTCACAACAGCTTGTGAAGTTTGTTCCTTTGAGCTCATCCATATTTTGTGGATGAGAAAAGCAACATACAGAGGTGTTATGTTGCATGCCTGAGGTCACAGCTAACACGTAATAGAAGTGGGATATTGGATCCCAGGCTTCAGGGTTTTAGAGACCTTATGCTTAACCCCTACTCTGTGTTACCTTTCAAAGGGATAGGCTATAGAATATAATTATGTACATGGAAAAAATATAATTCAATATTTTTTCTCAAATTCTGTCTTGTTAATGGGAGTATATGGTCTATTTTATGGGTAGCTCATAAGTTATTTAGCACAATTATAAATTTAAGCATAAGATTATTTTAATTTTTAAAATTTGTCATGTATATGTATGGATTATTGGTGCAATTTAGGTCTTCTGTGACTTAGATGTGATTTCGATCTGTGAGTTTT